AGCTCACAGGACTTTGAGGGGTTTGCCAAAAAAGTAATTGTTTGACCATATAAACTACAGGCTCTGTATTAACATAGTAATCACCAGTACTCCTCATACATTGACAACAAACACTTACAGAGATCGACAAAGACATCCAGACCCAACAACATTTTTTTCCTGAAGGTATAAATAAAGCAAATTCTAAATGACTGCTTTGCATTTCCTTTAACAACAGGGAATAATACTATTGTTTTAGCTGTATATTTGATCCAAATTTTGCCTGATACAATTCAATTCAAATATTTTTTTCTCACATGGTAATGGTACGAAAAAGGTCATAATTTAAAATCTAAAATCATCTTAACATGACACTGCAAACACTGAAACACACACAGCAGCAGAACCAACCACTCTGCATTTGTGCTTTTTAATATTTAACTCAGAGCAGTGCCAGAGCTAACTCTTTACTGGATGGAGCTGGGTCACACACACACACACACACACACATACACACATTAACACTCGCATGCATGTGTGGACACACGTTTGTGTTTATGTGCATGTGCTTTAAGTAGACAGTGTGTTTTCTGCTTGACTGATTAAAGGAAACTGGATCAGTGTGTCTTCCTCTGCCTCCCCTCAGTGAAAGTTCATCCGCTTCACTTATGCATATTTATGACTTCCGAATGTATGTCGGTGTGTGTGTGTGTGTGTACGTGTGTGTGTGTGTGTGTGTGTGTGAGAGTGTGTGAGCCTGCATACTTATAATCTGTGAACAAGCCTTCATGGGCAGTGGCATTGTGGGAGCACAGTGCAGGGCCAACACAGGCCCAAGCATGTAGCAATTAGCACATTGTTATAACTCTTGTTGCATTAAATTATCAACAACGTGTTAACACCGTTTCTGTCTCTGTGAAGGTCAGGAGAAGGCCACAGCCCCCCCCACCCCACCCCCACCCCCCTCATAACGATCAAACTCACACCTTCCATCTTCCAATCAGAAAAACTGATCCAAAAAAAAAAAAAAGGATTAGTAAATGATTAGCTTTGGTTGTCTGAAGGTGACATGCTGAATTGTCTTTTTGATGAGGTTTTTGTATTGGAAAGATTTAGCAAAGACAGGGAACACCAAATCTTCAGTAACAGGACACTGATGTTATGTAAATCGCTTTCTTTTGATGTTGTGCGGAACATTTGAATCAGTCAATCAGTCAGTCTAGGGCTGCAACTAACCATTTCATTTTTGGATTAATGTGCAGGTTTATTTTTTTTGAGTAATCCATAAATTGTTTTGTCTATAGAATGTCAGAAAATTGTGAAAAAAAAGCACATTATAATTGTCCACAGCCCAAAAGTTGACCACTTCAGATGTCTCTGGTTTGTCAGATCAGCAGTCCGAAATTCCAAAGGTATCACGTTTACAAAGAAAAGCATCAAATCCTCACGTTAAGAAGCTGGAACTAGCAAATGTCTGCCTTTCTCTTAAAAATGACTAAAATACTTATTCAGTTTTCAAAGTAGTTGCTGATTAATTTTCTGCTGAAATCTGAGAAAAATCATTGTGATGCCCAGAAGAAGACGCATCTTGTTTTAGGAGAAGGAAAAGGAGGTCGCAGGATGAAGCTACATCCACTAAAACAGAACAGACAAGAAAAACTAAAAAGAAAAACTGCAGTAATGACCTCACTGAGTGACACTTCAAAAACTCAACATCCATCTCAGCTCTGCAATAAAGTACGCATGTGATGTTTGTTGCCTGTTCGAGCACAGGCCCAGTCATTCATCCCCCTCAACAAGAAGGACACCATATTAACTAAGTGGCGGCCATCTCTTATTCATACACTGCTCATTACTTATCAACGCCCTCTCACTCCTGTACTCTGATGGGATTTTCACGGTCCATTTATGGGACAGGGGGGAGTGACAGAGGAAAAGATGGAGGAAGGGCAGGAGGAAGAAGGGGGTAGATGAAGGGGAGGAGAGAGTGTGAATAAGAGGCAGCGATAGAGAGGTATAGAAGAAAAAGGTGAATGATGACCAAAGGCTGGAAAAAAAAAAAGAAAGGCGAGAGAGATGCTGAGATGGATGTGTGAAGGATAAATGATGAATGGGATGACTGGAGGCTTCCAATCACACAAAAACCAAGAGAGACAGACACAGAGATTAGTCCCAATGACCCACTTAGCAGGAGACAGACCAAAAATGGCTTTTAATTTACACTTATGAAGTCTGGGTGTGAGGATGATCGTGATGATGGCCTTATGAAAAGCTTTATTAAACACAGGAAGCAGTTTGATTAAAGACGTGGCTGATGCAAAAACAGACACCGGACCTACAGCCTCTTAAACGCTACTAGTATTCATTTTCCTTTAAACCCTTCTGCTTCCTGCCCCTGCAGCCTTTTTTTTATTGTAATTATACCAAATTCTTATGATTAATATGTTAATAAAGGTACTGCATTAGGTACATTTTTATACATATCAACCCTGTGCAATTAAATCTGGGGTTTCTACAGAAGAAAAATGGAAAAGAAGAAAAAAAAACAAAAAAAAAAAACAAGCAAAATCCTCAAGAAATGTTAAGAAAGCTCGATCTTTTAAATTTTAACAGCAAAGCAGGTTACACTGGAACCTGAGAGGAGTGAACCTGGATTGACCCCAACCCTGGAGCGGACTCATCTTTTAAATTAATGAAAGAGTCATTAAAAAAAATGAATTAAATCATAAATCACTTTAATCATCCTTTAATGAAATAGGCGGGTGATTTTTTGGCAGGCAGGGGGAGCGTCAGGGAGGCATGAATTTGGATGGCAAAATACCAGGCTTTAGCCAAATTTGGTTCCAGTAGACTGTGGAATGGATTATCATTATTATTATGATTGTTATTATTGTTATTTCTGTGTCATGAATACAACTATGCACCAAATTAAGATAAGACAGATCCAGAGAGCTGCACATTGATTTTCAAACAATGCTACAAAGAGCCCCAAAAAATAAAGGGAACCAATTTAAATGCTATTCATAGTCAGATTTCCAGACCTTCATGTCAGCCTAAATTCATAAATCACTGACACAGCATTCACTGTATAATTATTATACTGGAGAAATATGAATAATTACAATTGAAATGGTCCATCTTGCCTTCTTTTCAAGGCCGGTGAGGCAAAGTTGGGAAACTTAGATACACTAAGATTAAAAAAGCCATTTCCATTTTTCATCACCTGAATATTTGAAGGTTTTGTGAAGCCATTTCATAAGAAAATGAACTCTCTTAAATCATTGCAGTATGCACAGTGCATGCTCAGGCAATCTGTTTTCCTCCAGAATATTTTTAATCTACAAACCCTCAGCAGCTCGACGAGACGATACCAGCTCTCAAACTGTGCATAAAATAAATGTTTGGCATCGATACAAGCGAGATACAGAATGTATAAGTCAGGGTGGAAGTGTTGTTCAGTATGCAGTGGAGGGAGATTTATAAGCATCTCGATGATAAAATGTTCCATTACAAGGAAAAGCAAAGTAAAAGTAGATAAGTATTAGCAGCAAAATGTACTGAAAAGAGTACTTTAGTAAACATACGTATCTGCTTTCCACCACTATTAATGTACACATATATATAATCCTTTAAACAAGGTCTTTTCAGTATTAAACATATAGCTCAGTTTTAATCATGTTAACATTTGGAGATTAAACAAATTTAAGATATCATTCTTATTCCTGTGCTGATCCTGCCTGAGGAACAACACTGACCTCGTCTTCCTATACACTCTTCACACACACACACACACACACACACACACACACACAGTGTACAGATGTTGGCCAGTAATATTGGAAATCGCCAGACGGCGCTGACCCACTCAAGTGATGACTCATATTGCATCCGCACAAACACAGACACACACACACACACACACACACGCAGGAGGGTTTTGTGCCTACACTAATTATCTCATTAAGTGTGAATTCTCATTTATCACACAGAGTTCTCTAATTTACCATTCATTCCACGTACAGTAAACTCAGCATAGGACAGAAATGGTGTTCCCCCCTTTTCTGTGACTCTGTAACATTTTGACTTCACACCTCTGCATCCTCTCACTTTAAATTCACTATAAACAGCCCTGGCAGTGACAGCATGTGCAATCACCAGCTCGCACGTGACAACAGAAACCATGGAGAGGTTGAAGGATTTGGTTTGAGGACATGTAGGGGGATAGCTGAGAACTAATAGGCCTGGAAACGGTTTAAAATGGGGATCATGATTGATTCAAGCTATTCAAATCCACTGAGGGCACATCAGGCAGTGTAGTAGCCTCTGTGTTTGGATGTGTGGGTGAGAATTTGCGCTTACAAAACACACACAAATGCTTAAATGGCTTTGAGCCTTTTGGGGGTGGGACGGTGGGGGTTGTGAGTCTCTGCTAGTGTGTGTGTGTGTGTGTGTGTATGTGTGTGAGCTTGTGTAACTATATTCATGGTGTCTGAAAACCAGGATCCCACTATACTTGAGGACCAAAATGCTGAAGCCCACAAGTTTAAATGGCTGTTTGAGGATGATTAGGGATTGGTTTTAAGGTCAGGGTAAGGGGACAAGGGGTCCCCCAGTGTACTAAGACAAGTGTGTGTGTGTGTGTGTGTGTGTGTGTGTGTGTGTGTGTGTGTGTGTGTGTGTGTGTGTGTGTGTGTGTGTGTGTGTTACGTGTGTGTTACGTGTGTACGCGCGCGCGTGTGTACGTGTGTGTTAGGTCTGTGTTACATGTGGGTTACGTGAGTGTATGTTACGTGTGTGTGTGTTACGTGTGTGTTACGTGTATGTATGTTACGTGTGTGCGTGTGTGTGTGTGTGTGTGAGAGAGAGAGAGAGAGAGAGAGAGACAGAGAGAGAGAGAGAGAGAGAGAGAGAGAGAGAGAGAGAGAGAGAAAGAGTAGGAGAGAGAGCAAGCTATTCAAGCTCATTAGGATTCAACAGTTATCTAATTGATGTTATTAATGCAGAGGGTCTATTAGACTCACCTTGTGTTGTTTCCACATCACCGCCAGCGGTTTGACGTCGTGCTTGGCGTGTTTCCCCTCCTCCAGACACTTCATACACACCGGAGCCTTGCAGCTGCAGCAGTACATGTTGAAGTTTTCCGCTTCATGGTCCACGCAGGTCGCCGGTTTCCGCGCGGTAGCGGGCGGCTGCTGACCGCCGCTGCCTGCCCCAGCTCCGCCACCGCTGCCACCACCGCCGCTCCCGCCTCCGCCTGCCGCACCTCCTCCTGCCGCTTGGTTCGGCGGCGGCACCAGGCGGTGTTTGGCGAGCGGACCGCGGGACGGGTGGCACCGCTGCTGGCAGGCGTTACAGTAGAAGACGTCGCACTGCTCGCACATCACCGCCGCGTCCACTGGGTTGCGGTCGCACAGCTGGCACTTCACCGCTGTAGAGGAGGAAGAGGAGGAAGCGGAGGCGGCGCGGTTCTGTTGGTACCGCGCCACGATGGCCTCCAGCAGCCGGTTCCGAGGGAAACCCCGGAGTCCCCGCTCGTCCAGGGAGACGCTCCGGTGGCAGAGCGGGCAGGTGAGGGAGCAGTGTCGGTGAGGGATGGCCGGCGGAAACACACGCACCCCGTTTGGAGACTTGAGCTGGCACGGCGTGTAGGAGCCGTATCCGCTGTCCGTCTCGCTGTACAGACTCATCTTGTCCATGTCCAGGTAGTCGTAGTCAGAGCTGCCCGACGCTCGGCTCTGCACCGGGGTCTCTCCCTCCGGGGTCTGAACGGTGATGTTCCGAGCACAGGCCAGGCACACATTGTGGGAGCACGGCAGCAAGATGGGGTCCTTGAAGAGAGAACCGCAAACGGGGCATTTTAACTCTTCCTCCATCGCTCCCGTGTTGTCGGTGGACCGGAGGGGGAAGCTGCTTCAGTGAAAACACTCCAGCACCCACTGACACGGACAGCTCCCTGCGCCGCTCTGCGCAGCCGCGACGAGGGGCGGGGCCTGTGGGGTTTGTGGTTGAGTTGAGTGATCGGGTTAATTTACAGGCTGTGAGACACCACAGATATCCCAGGCTGTCATGACTTGTAAACAGGGTCATACAGCCTCATATAGCCAGGGTCTCTTCTTCTTTTTTGTTTTTTTTAATTAGGACTTCACTTCACTGTTACTTGTAATTACTTTGTGTAATGTTTTAAAACCTGTACACAATACGTTTTATTTAGCCTTAAGCCTTTATTTATTTATCATTTTGTTGATATAAAAGTAGTTGTATTTAGACTTTCTGGGTCTAAACATACTAGTATCAGCGTATAAAATGCCAACAACACTGACATCTAAAACCTTTTTGACAATATAGCCTAAACCACCCCGACGATTCTAAAACCCCAAATTACACAATAAATAAATAATTCATGAATAAAATACCCTTAGTGTCCTCAATGGTAGCCCTGTTTATAAAAATTGTTTGTGTCGCAAAGCACAGACTATAAAGAATGAAATTAGTGGATAAAGATAATTAAGTGCAAATTGATTCTTTTTTTTCGGAAAAATCAAGAATAATTTAAATTTCCTTTACTTCATAAAGGCTATCAATCACATCAAAGTGACACAAAAAGCGTTCAGTGATGGAAGAAGTACTCAGGTCCTTTCCCATGTTTCCATGTAACTGTCATGTATTCAGTAAAAGTACTTATTATCAATTAAATATATATAAAGGCTACTTACTGTATCGAAAGTAATGTAATGAGTAAATTACTCATTATACAGGATTCAGAACATATTTTTATATAATTAGCTTATCATTTTTTAAACATGGTAATGAATATTTAATGTTGAGAAGAAGCTAATTATTTATGATTGGGTGAGATTTAATCTGTAAAATTATATCATTTTTTTCACTTTAAGAAAAAATCTAGCTGTCAGGTAAATGTAGTGGAGTAAAAAGTGCAATATTTACCTCATAAATGTAGCATGCAGAAACTTAAAGTAACTGAAATCTAGGTGTAGGTACTTAGCTAAAGTACTTTAAATGTACTTTTCCATCATAAACGTTAGCCCTAGCCAAGCCATATCCTCTTTATGTTGGTCAAGGAATCAGAAAGGTGATTGTCAACACATCAACAGTAATGGTGATCATCATGACAATGATCATGATGATCATTATCTGACAACCTGATAATCTGTATTTGTTCTGCCTGTCAGTTTGAGACACAATCACCGTGGTAACATACCAAAGAAGGAATAAATAAAGTTAAAACATGAAAACTATGTGAGACTGAAAACATGTTTCAGATTACAGGGATCGCAGCAGAATATGCATAAACATATGAGAGACCCCTTGAAGTCAGTTTCGATCCAGTAACCTTTGAGATGTTTGACATTAGCCCTCTGTGTTAGCTAAACATTTAATGACCAGACGGCGGCCATGACTGAAGCCCCTCAGGGTGTAGCATTAATGCCACCCACTGGACAGCTTCTCCATTTATAGCCCTGTTAGCATCCCATTCCTGGAATTTAGCTCTGTGGTGAAATGACAGTGATTATCTGCACACCCACTTCAACACAAGTAACTACACAATCTCGCTTTACAACAAACACCAGGAAAAATGTACAGTTGTTTTCCTCTTCCAATTACATTTCATTGCCTAACTTAACCTTTAACGGTAATCTAAAGCAGTTTAAAGTGGAAACTGAGGACATGTGAGGACATGTTACTTATAAAAAACATTTAGTAACGACTGGAAAATCACTGTAGGACAGCCACAGTATGATCAGGCCAGAGATGGAAGCTTGAAGCCTTAAATTGTCACTCTTGACAGTGATACAGAAGCCTAAACTGGTTTTTGAAAGTGGATTGCTTCTGAAATAAAAACCTTTATAAAAATCACGAGTTTTTTTGGGGTTTTTTTTATGTACTATTGCTGAAAATCAGTCCCATTTTCTGCTTCTTTTCTTCATGTTCATGTCAGGGAGTTGTAAGTAAGCCATCCAAAGGAGAGGAACAAGTACTAACAGCAGGATCAACATGTTCAACGCCAGTGGGTAAAAGTTGCTGGACACATAGATTTCATGGTATAAAAAATTCATCTGTATAACTTGCTGAAGTGTATACGGTAGAAATTTACTATGATTATGAATGCTTTCAAATTCCAAAGCACTAGCTGTGAGGGGGTTTTGTAAAAAAAAAAAAATAGATAAAAAAAAAAAGAGACAGTCCCACTGGAAAATGGCATTATTGATACTCCCACTAGATGGACACCACTTAAGAACATTTTTCTCTTTGGAGTCACTTAAAGTTCAAGCAGGAAAAAGCTGTAAACAAAAGTATTACACATTATCACTTAAAAAAATTATTGCACGTGCCAGAGCAAGATTAGCATGCATTCACGTTAGCACCTTGAAGCGCAAAAACGTGAGCCTCAAGACAACTAAAGTGTTTACGATTCGGTATTAAATTCTGTTTGGACACCCCAGGGCAGTTAGGACACAGAGACACATGACAGGATGGGATGCCAATAAAAGTTCTTTACTGGCGTAATCCAAACGAAAAAAAAAGAATGTCACGAAAATGCAATTGGGACAACTTTTAGGTGGAGAGTACAGGAAGGAAAAGGGTATCCAGGGTGGAGACTGGTGGTGTCCGGGGGTGGAAAAGAGCCAGGTGACATGGATTCGTCAGCAGGATCATTTTCCACAAAAAACAACAAGCTGACCACATTAAGGTTTCTTTCCCTAGAGCTAGAAAGGTGGCTGGGCGGTTATGACCACATTGAGAGCAGAATCAATCTGGCGACGGAGTGAGGTGAAGACGCCTGGGGGTTCTTTATTACAGGCGTTACAAGTGATGAGTCAAACCAGGGTGTGCCAGTGTAGATCTCAGCCTGCGGACACATGCCCATGTTGAAAACAACACACATACAGCTCAACACAGAGGAGGAGGAGACACAGGGAAAGGACAGACAGGGAAAAAAACACAGGAAACACCTGGGGACATCTAGCAGTCAACAGAGGGGCGGGTGACAGTAAAGCACTAGTTGTATAGAGTTAGGGGAGCTGCAGGGCACAGGAATAATTCTCTATAGTTCATCACGATCATGATCCATTTCACATTACTGTATTTATTTGACGCCATTGTTTTAAAAGATATTTATTGTGCAGCTTTTAAAGTTAGTTTTAGTTTTTGTTGTTAGAAAAAAAAATTTAGAAAAAAAAAAGTCATTTTGATCATATAGATGAATAATTCTCAATACACACATAGAGTTAATGAGTGGAAAAACAGGAGGTGGGATAAGACATATACACAGATCTTTTACTTAATGCTATACCTACTTTTTATATTTTTTACTGTTAAGGTACAAAAGTAGTTATAAACATCAAAGATTACCATCAATATTTAAAGTCCAATGGTAAAATAAATGCAGAAACGGTCGTTTTCCTGAATCCTTGGCTTTACTGGGATTAAATTATTGATGCATTAATGAGTGCATCACTTATGTTGCAGCTGGGTGAAGGTGGAGGTAAGTTTTTAATTGTTTATATATACTTGCTGAGTAAAGTATTAATTATATCTTTATCCTAGAACAAAAATATAGACAGTGATCATCTATTTTGTTGCTTATATTTTGTATGATTAATATGAATCTGCAACTCACTTACTTAATATGAAAATAAATGAGGTGGAATAAAGGTAAAATATTTACATCTGAAAAGTCAACGAATGAGTATAAAGTAGGCAGAAATGGGAAATGGTGCTTAGTTGCTTTTGCTGTTGTGTGAATTCATTTAAAGCCTTGTTTTATTTTCACCAGAGTGCAAAAACGACATGTATCACTTCATTGTGGTGAGGAGAATTTTACCTCTAACCAACAGCTTGAATATCAGCCTTCCCTCGTCCAACTGTGGAACTGGTACTGATGTGAACTAAGATGAGGTTTGGTAACACTATCTAAATTGTATCAATTTTTTTTTTCTGTGGTTAAACAGGCTCTGTCTCAGTCTGGCCTTAGAGAGGATGCTGAGCCATAGATCTTTGGTGACTGAGAACAAAACTTGCGTCTATTCATGGCGTGAAATACTGTATTTACTGTATGTTTCCTGCAGAGGTGGTTGAGTGAGTGAATTCTCTCGATAATCCCCATCCCCCCAGCCTGAATGCTCCTTCTCCTGAGGATAGAGCTGATAACTTCGC